TGAAACAACAACAACAAAAAAAGGACATTAGAATGACGGAAATCTGGTGAAATATGTAGTTTATTAACACAACATATCACATTGGCTCATTAATCGTGACAAACGTACTAGTGTACTAATGTAAGGTCTTAATAGGGGAAACAGGATATGGGGTACATGGGAATGTTTTATACAACCTGAAATTTTTTTCTGTAATGAGTTTATTTTTAAAAAGTGAGTAGGGGATATTCTTTTATTTATTTATTTTTTGGAGACCAGTTTGTATAACAGTACTTTAAATGGAAAAATATCAGCATTCCCATTGCTGACCTCGGTTAATATTAACTTTGGGAATACTAGATAAGGTTAAAGATAGTAAAGGTTACATTGTTCAGTAATGATGCTAGAAAATTAATTATCAGTTTGGTTAAAAAAAAAAAAAAATCTTTCCGATCCTTACATCATGCCAAGCATTACTACCTAGAATTTGTGAAGATTTACATAGAAAAAAACCCAAAAATTATAAACATAAAAGATATAATATAAAAATATAATATAAAAAATATAATATAAAAGATAGTGAGAATGAATGAATTGATACGCTTGGGGTGGTGTTTTAATCAGCTTTTTCATTGATGTGACCAAAATGTCTGTCAAGAACAAGGAGAGGAGGAAAAGTTTGTTTGGTTTACAGTTTAGAGTTCTTGGTCCATAGATGGCAATTCCATTGCTCCAGCCAGGCAGAACATTATGGTGGGAGGGTGTGGTGGAGGAAATCAGCTCAAGATTTGGCATCAGGAAGACAAGGGAAAACTTGCTCACCAGGGACAAAAAGTAAACCCCAAATGTATACCCTCAGGAACCCACTTCTTCCAGCCACACCCTACATGCCTACACCCAGTTAATCTCTATCAGGGGATTAATGCACTGATTAGTGCATTTTTCCTCTACACTTTCTTGAATTGCACACACACACATGAGTTTGGGGGGGACAACTCATATCCAAACATAACAGGTGAAATGAATATTTTTTTATCCATAAAAAAGTTAAGATGACATGGAAGTTTAAAGACAGAACAGAACTTGTAGTACACTGAGCCCGTGGAATGGACCACAAAATGGAATAATCTCACAGAAGGAAGATGAAGGATCTTAGAGAGTTAATGCAAAATAACCAAAGTATGAAAAATACTGGTGAGAGTTATTTCTTGAAAGTGAGAATGAAGGAAAAATAAATAAATAAAGCATTCAATATGCTGAAAGTATCCTAAAATTAATATCTGAGATAGTCGAACAGAATCACAAACAGAACTGATAAAAAGTAGCAATGTATCCAAGGTAACATCATTAACCACCAGTGGAGATATACACTGAATCCAGACCTGCCTCACCCCAAGCTCTGGTTTTAATTCCACATATGTGTTCAGCTAGCCACTAAAAACGATCCTTTCTACATGCAATGTGTAATCCAGGGTGGTATCCCAGATCAGAAAAGGGGACATAGGTGGTGTAGGGCATGATGTAAAGTGGGGCATGTTGCATCAGAAAAGAGGAAACTTAACTTGCTGGCTGCTACCCGCTTCCCAGTCCTGGGGCCACGTGTGGCTAAGAGAGCACCTAGGGATTAGCCAGAAGGCATTGCCGTGGGTTGTGATGAAGAATCGGACCACCTCTAGGATAGGCTCAGAACCCTTCTGCCCCCACAGACATTACTGCCTGTAGGATGGGTGTAGATGTAAATTCTCCGCACCCTGCTGACCTTTATCCTGATTGGCTCCTGTACATTATATTAGCTGTGTATGTTTTCTCATTAAACGAGATCCTGCTTTGACAGTTCTCCCTGGCGCTTCTGCTTGTCCTCCAGGGGGGGAGGGCTGAGTGCAGGCAGCCAGTCGACCTTTACCTTTCATGGCCTGTCCTGGTCAGGGCGTGCTCCCCCAATCTTTCCCACAGGTCAGGAGGGAATGGGGAGCTAAAAACCCGGACCAGGTGGGAAAACTGGTGAAACTCTAATAGAGATTTTGTTTAATAATAATATACCAATATTCATCACCATGTTGACATTTATCCCACAGTTACGTATGGTGTTAATGTTAAGGCAAACAATAGGCAAGTTCACAATGCTCTGTAAATCTAAAATTCTTCTAAATAAAGAAATTATTAAAACATTAATTTCTCAAAATGGTGCCTTGGAACAGTCTGAAAACATATAAGTGATGAGATCTATTACACAAAAGCAAATTTTAAAAAGAGCACATTTTGCATTAAGGACTTTGATTATAACAAATTTATTGATGATTTCTAAAAATAAATATCTGCCTCAATTCATTCATATGGCTTTTTAAGTAAACCTTTTACATATTTTTTCCCATCCCATTTTTTCTTTCATGTGGAAAAACAGAAAATGGGGAACAGTGGTTTTTGAAAGCATAAGGGGATCTGGTTGAGGCAAACTCTCCACTTCTGCTAAAGATGAAACAGAAGTTCCACAGAAAAATTTCTAGCAGCAAGAATTAAATTTAAAGGATTTTAACAGAACTGCCTTGTTTTAGGAGCTCTCAGATACTTAAAGAACGAAGACTTTAGAAATCAAGAATTGCAGGAGCAGAAAAGCTGAAACATAAAATTAAATTACAAAACTCAAATGATTGTCTATATAAGGAAAAAAAGAAAAATGAGAAAGGAGTAGAAAATAAAAGTAATGAAAGTTAGAGATGATGGTGTCTCAAAAGAACTGAGGTATAATTAATGATGGAATGGGAAATGACAGGGACATGAATGGCATTGATCCATAACATGTCACTGCCTTGTCCCTAGTTTCCCAATGATTCCTTTCACAGAAAGCATGCACCAGTGATTCAGGGGGACCTGAGGGGCTGACTCCTCTGCTCCCATCTCTTCTGACTTTCTCCTCCAATTTCCCCTCTCTTGGAATCCCTTGCAGCCAACCTTGCCCACACAGTTCCCTGGGCTCTGGCCCACCTTTGTATTAACTAAGCTGCCTGCTTGGATATCCTGCCCTCCTCCAGATATCCCTGGGGGAAAACTCCAATTCCTCTTCAAGATTTGCTCAAATATTAACTTTTCAGTGATTCATCACTATGCATATTCTACTTAAAATGGTAAGCCCCTAGACCCCCAGATCTCCCATTTTGCTGTTTTATTTTCTCATACCTCCTTCCACCAGCTAACATTTTAATCATATTGGATATCTGTTTACCCAACCACTGCACTATAATAACCAGATTTTTGCCTGTTTTAATCACTACTGTTTTTGATAGTACCAGGCATATAGTAGCTGCTCAATAATTATTTTTCCAATATATCAGTATAAAATTGTCATTTTCAGTAACATCATTAAAATACAGTAAGAGAACATGGGTAACTCGTAACTTCTACAAAGTCAGCTTCTTTCTATCTGTATATAGATTTTCTGCTTTTTGCTTTTGTTTTCACACTGAACCATTACTTCTATCGTGTTTTAAAAGAAGGTTTTGTTTTTGTACAAGAGTAGACATTTATCCATCTGCAATCATTTCAAATCAGGCACATTCAATATCAGAGTCAGAAAGAGTGAAACTTCATTGTTCCAAGGTCTTTGCTTTTCTGAGCTTCAATAATATTTAGTTATTACCATAAAAAAAAAGCTGCGCATCATAAAACCTTTACATGGGCAAATGTTTGGCAGCATGATCCACTGAGCTAAGGGAATCATAAAATTTCAACCTCCTCATTTTCAAGATGAGAAAACCAAGACCTAGGAAAGGCACCTCCTCAATTCAATTCAAGCATAGCTGATGAAGTGGTAAGCAGGAGCTCATCCCAGAGGACTAAAGTATTAACAGATCGGCCTTGCCTGTCAACATTTCTAAATGCAGACAGAACTCTAGATTGGAAATGTTCAGTTCACCATTCAGCTAGATCTTTATTTTTTCCAACTTATTTTTCCATTTCATTGCTCAACGATGTTTTGAGTAGCTGCTTCAAATTGCCTGAACATTCAAGATTCTTTTTGCATTATGATCAATAGCAAAACAAGCAATGTAATCACCTTCCCTAAGATTTGGGCAAGTTCTCAGGCCACTATACCTTACAGAATCCACTTAGCATTCAGCCTCTCACTCCAATCTTGGGAGAAGTGAGAGGACAGTATATTTCACAAACTTCTTACTCTTTCAGTGGATGCATTATCAATTTACCCCTACAAATCAAATGGAAACAGCCTTTCAGGGGCTGAAAATGTGTCCGTTCTCTTTAAAAAAAAAAAAAATCTTCAGCTGAAAAATTACACACATACCACTGCTTTGTCATAAGTGGGGAAAAATAAGTTTGGTGTCATATTTTCTTCTCAGAGGTAGCAATAGCAGTTAATCTACACACATGCATTCCCTGGGTACTGGAGACAGTCGTCTCGGATATTATAGTGTCACCTGGGCAAATACTTTGGCAAAGACAGTCTATAAAATGAAGTTGCTAGGGACCAAAACAACCACATTGATTTTTAGTACAATTCAAACCACAAGGAAACATCCCTTTTCTAAATGGCACAAGCTGAAAACGACAGGGAGAAATGTATTGCAAATAGTGGAGAGAAGGAATAGAATAAAAGACAATTACATTAGCAAGAATCTTGGTGCTTTTTTCAGTTATTTGTTTAAGGTCAGAGAACTAAGAGGGTTGAATTATGTTAAACATCCTTATCTGAAAATCTAAGATTACTCATTTATGGACCTTGTGCTCACAGCTGGAAGCCTGGGCAGCCAGTGGAGCTTTTCGAAATAAAGCATTACAAGCCTTTGAATATTTGAACATTTTTTTCAAAGCCCAAGTAGTTTTCCTGTCAATTAATCTCTTTTTCTCTGCAAATGATAGAGCAGCCTAAACTGCACTATAAATGTATAATTTACCAAAGAGTCATTAAGTTTGCTGCAACAAATATTTTGCTTAGTATCTTTAAAAGGACAAAATGACCTTGAAGCCAGAGACCTCTGAACAAGAGGTTCAGACCAGTCAGGACTCACCATGGCCCCCTGGCTTGTTCTCTGGGCAACTTCTCGCTGTAGTCGGGCCACAGCCAACTTCTCCCTGGAGAAACAAAAGTACAAAATGAGTTGACCATTCCCAGGGTAGAGGCGATTCCAGAGTGGCTGTGAAGCATTCCTTGGAGATCCCCAGAGGAACTCCCTCCTTCCTGTCCCTTACATCCTCCATGATACTTTCTATAAATATTTAAAGCAATTGGCCATTAGTGCTTTACTTTCATTCAGTGTTATAAGAGAGAGATTTTTTTTTTTGCCTTAGATTTGTAATAACCATATTAAGGTTGAATACTGAATAAAAGCTCTGCTTTAAGTTAATTAGCATATATCCTTTATACATACATTTCCCAAGGCTGAAATTCTTCAATTGTTCTTCCTGTGTCAACTTTGCTTATATGTTTTTAATCATCTTTGTTTTGTTATTCTACACCAATATCACATTTTAAAAAGCAAAGAAAACATAACTTTACAGTGTTCTTAAAATAATAATAGGAAACCATCTGTTACAGAGGCTTGCTATGTAACACTCTCTATGTTGGGCATTTTACCTGATCTCATATGAGCCTGACAACTAACCTACATTCCATTAGCCCCGATAAAAGAGTAAACTGAGGGTAACAGAGGCTGTGTAAAAAAACCTGAAGCCCTATCTGTCATGTAGTAGTTTTAGGATAAAGGTTTAGATTTCCTTACTTAAAAGCCTAAATAAATCATTCTTCAGGGTCTAGGAAAGATGAAAAATGTAGACTTAAAAATCAAGTAATTTTAATATTCTCAGTTTAACAGTGGGGTTCATTTTATATTCCTTATAATTGAAATTCTGAGTTTAGATACCTGAACTGGGGAGGGGGGGTTCTTCTTAAATAGTGGTTAACATAGAGGCGGCTTCTTCTGGAAATCCCCAAATCTTAGTTTTATCAAGGATTTCTCCTGAAATCCTTTGAACACTGTCAATATGTGAAACTATTTGAGTGATATTTCATCCCTTAATCTGCCCTCTGCACAGGATCAGTTCCATGCAAAACACAGAGGAGGCTGCTAGAGTCCCAGAGGAGTGAAAGGATTTCTTCTGTCCTAATTGCCTTGGTTTTTGAAACACCTCCAACTGCCAAAAAAGCATGTGCCTTAGTTGTGTTAAGGCCAAGCAAGCTTCCAGTAGGAACTTGACCAAAGGAAACAAGAAACTGGAGATGTTCCTGAGTTACAAGTTTGGGATCCTGGGGCAAGACCTGTGGGTTCCTTGTCCCCGTGATAAAGGGCAATAAACTAGACAAGAAAAGAATAAAGAAATGAAAGTCATAGTCCCCTTCTGGTTACAAACAAAGTAGAGTCCATGTGTGTTCTGACTCAAGTCCTGATGAGTAGTTTAAAGGACAAATACAAGGAGCAGAAGTTGAAAGGGATGCATACGCCTAATGTTTAATTTGATATGAAAATTAAACTCACGCATTCATCTCCTCTTTCCCAGGAAATCATTAAAAATGCAATAGAAGAATAGTAATGATAAAACATTTTGTAAGTATTTTAAGAGAATACACCCATGGTGAATGACACAGCAAGTCTACTTTGGAATGCAAACCCAGCAGAAATGCAAATACATGTTCACTCAAAGCCACAGACTAGAATGCTCATAGAAACACTGCTTGTAACAGCCTTAACCTGAGAATGCATACACCCATTGACATCAGAGTAGATAAATAAATTAGCACAGTCATACAAGGGAATAGTATAAAGCACTGAGAAGGAATAATCTACTGCTAATCAAAATACATGGAGTTATCACAAACATGAGCAAGTGCCTAAAAGCATATGTATTCTGCTTCTGAAAATATACACAGAATTTCTATCCCATTTGATAAGACAAGAAAAAAGACATGAATATCAAAATGTAAGAGGTAAAACTGCTCTATGCACACATGACAATTTCCTATATAAAATATTTAAGTGATTTTTAAAACAATTATACAACTGATATGTGAATTTAGTAAAGTCACAGAATTATTTTTAAAAACTATATTTTTTCTATCATAGCACCAATCAATTGGAAAATAAAATTTTAGGAGCATCAATTTATAATATTGTGAAAAACAAAATACCTAGAAAATACACTTACCAACACTTGCCAGACTGCCATATTGTAAACTACAGAACACTGTTAAGAACACTGAAAAGAGACCAATAAATAGAAATAGATACCACATACATGAAGTAGAGGGCTTAATATGACTACAGTGTCAAAATGTGCACCACCCACATCTATACATTCTTTTACTCTGCCAAAGCAAATAAAGAGTAAGATATGACTATAGGAAAAAAGGAATCCCACACAGAAGAGGAGAAAAAGGAATCCACTTTTATTGTCTTTGTTGTTGTTGTATTTAAAAAGAAGTCTCTACGCAGGAATTCAGAGAATCACCCAACCTGACTTCAGCGAGAGGATGGAAAGCTCAGAAGAATGACTCCATGAAAAGAAGCAAAGATGGATCAAAAAAAAAACAACTACCTAGGTGCTTGTAAACATTGAGAAGAGTTTGAGTTTTATTTTATTTACTTATTTATTTACTTACTTATTTCCTCTGTGTTTTGCATGGAACTGATCCTGTGCAGAGGGCAGACTGAGGGATGAAATATCACTCAAATAGTTTCACATATTGACAGTGTTCAAAAGATTTCAGGAGAAATCCTTGATAAATAAGTTGTGCTGGGGGTTGAACCTGGTCCTTGTATATGCAAAACATGCTACACAAGTAGTCTACCCCTGAGCCAAGTCCCTAGTCCCAAGAGTTTGAGTTTTAATGCAGAATTGGTTAAGAATCAGATATTAAAACACAGAAACCTAGGCCAACTCAGGTAGTAGCAAATATGTATTTTAGGAAAAATTAGTGTTACTCGAGATTTGCAATGCTAGAATTAAGACATATCCATAAGTGGCATTTACATTACTTGATGTTTATAATGCAGTAAATCAATTAATCTTCTAATGAAAAAATTGGAGAGAAGGGGAAATGTGGAAAGACAAGAGGCATTGGAACACTAAATCCTGACCTTTCATGATAGGAAGACAATATAACTTTCTAAAACAATCGATATAGAAATAGGAGGGCAAGAAATATACACAAAAATAAGAAAAGCATAAGTACACAGTTAAGTGCACTTAAAAATTAAGAAATCTAAACATAGTGAACATGTCCATGTTCCTGTCGGTTGTGGTGAAGTTAATATCACAAAATAACAACCTGTGACTGGCTAAATGATACATTAGTCACAGAATCTAATACCAGCCTACCTGGTATTAGATTCTATGACTACTTTGCACTTACATGGCATAATTCCCAGGTCCATGCCCACACACAATGATTCCCACCTTCCAGTGGAGTGGAACAAAAGCCTTTTAAAATAAAGTCTGAAGTTACAAAAAGCATACCTTTCATAGGCCACCAGGTAAGTAGTCAAGTAAGCCTCAACAAAGTAAATTCCTACATAAGACCCTGAATAAGGAACATGTAGAGCAGTATTCCAATACCTGTGTCAAAACCTTTTGTTCATATGGATTATATCGTTTGATATGAACCACACAAAAGTGAAAACTGATAATTCTCTAAAATATTAATTACAAAAAATAAACAAGCCCATACTAATATAAACAAACAGCTTTATGGTGGGGAAAAAAACTATATTCCAAAGCAAAATAAATTTCCTAAGAATAACACTGCTTTAGAATTTTTTAAGTAGCTTCTTTAGAAAGCCCCACACATGCAAGAAGGTGAATGAAAAAGGCAATATCACTTTAGAGTTACTATAAAAATAGTTTGACCTTGTAGATCCATTCAAAGGGTCTTGGGGACACTCGGGGTCCCAGGACCCACACTTTGAGAACATCAACTAAAAGACAGATACATAATCAGGAATGGAGGAATGTTCTGGAAAATTGCCTTAAGTCATCATTCTTGATTGCTGAATCCTCAGAGGGTGCTTTAATATACATGCTAATAGCGTGTTAATTTTTCACAAGAGTGGTTTAACATAAAAGAGACACTTCTAGGAACAGACCAAGAGTCTATCTTATCACCATCATCCTACTAAATGAGAGTCTTAATTCTGTATAAAGGTTAGGAACATCACTCTTTTATGTCCAAAAGAGGTGGCCTTCATAACAACTATTAGAGGTTGTCACACTGTACAGACATTTATGTAATCTTATTAAATTCAATTTGAAGGAAAACTTCAATGGTTTCAACAATCACATAGCATTTTAAAAGGACAGTAGTAATATATCATGAAATTTTGTGGACTGCCCATATATTATATTTTCAGGCATTCAGTGAAGAGTGAATAAACTACCTACCATGACAGGGCCATCTCTAAACGGATGCACATTAGCCATGTGATTTGGTGAAATAGTAAATTATGTAGAAACTAGAAGCACCAACTTCAGTTTTAACTTAAGAACACAGAGACACAGGCTGAGAGAAACAGGGGGAGTTTCAGAGTAACCTGGACCACAGGAAAACAACCCTAACCCCAACCCTGCTCCCCAGCCCTCCTCATCAAAAAGTGAGAAAATGGTTCCAGTGTAGACAATTCAGAGATACCACAACTCAGAGTAGCTAGGTGTTGAAGGGGAAGAATTTGCAAGAAGAGTAAATGCAAATGTCTCTTTAGGACTATGCTCTAAACTTGTTTTAAATCACTTATGCAGAAATACAACATACAATGTCATGGAGTAGGGACCTTCATGGTTCCAATAGTTCAAGGTCCTTATGGGGTAAGTAGGCACAGCAAGGGAAGCTCAGTCTCCCACAGCAAGAACACTCCAACTCTGCTATTTTATGAATACAGCTTCTGAATGACATTCCCTTTAAAAATAGGGTTTTAGAGAGAAAAAACAATATAAAGGATTCTTTAAGGTTCAATAATTTTTATATTCTAGATATTTCAGGTCCTTAGTCTTCCAAGTGTGCATTTCATATCGGGTTTTAGTAGTATTTCCATTTCATTTCTATATGAAAAAAGTTGTTATTCTTTTAAAATTAAGAAAGTGATAAG